CACTTGTATTGATACCTTGTGATACAGTCTATTTGATTTCTTGATTTGGTGTTTCTATTGCTAGTCTGTGATTGATTTTTGTGGTTTATATGTGTGTTCATCTATTTTCGATCAAGGTTAAGATTTTTTGGTTTTGTCAGATTTCTTTGAATCAATTGGGTGTTTTTCTGTTTGATTTCTTGTTTACTATTATTATTTCTACCCATATTGCTAATCTGGATTCTATATAGTTGGTGATTTGATTCAAGAAGAGGATATGGTTTGTTGCGAGCTGTTTTCTATATTTATTGTATCAAATTGATTCTGTTATTTCTTTGATAGTTATATCTGTTTCTTTGAAGATTTGAAGGTTTAGTGCTATTCCTGTGTATTTATGTTGTCTTAAAAGGAAGAGAAGATCATATGTAAAGTCGTGTTCTTGAGATAGAAATAGATCTGTGAATTGTGTGCTTGTTATGGATTTGGTTAACCACTATCTGTTTTATGCTTCCTGTAGACACATACTAGTGATTTTTCCTATGATGTCTTGTCTATTTATTCTTTTATACCAGTTGTTGACATGGAGTAGTAGTTGTCTGTCCCAGAGATGAAAGAAACCATATTCTAGTGGATTGTGTAGGATTGTGTTGGATGCTGTTTTTGCCAGGTTGAGTTTATGTTTGTAGATAGGATTTAAGATACTCATAATTTTGTTGCAGTTTGATTCTGTGAGAACCATGTTCAATAGAAGGTATGTTACTATTGATATCCAGACTTGATTATGTAAATATCTGATTTGTTTGTCTATTGTTGATTTCCATTTGATCGTATTGATATATTTTAGTGTTTTTTCATTTATCAGATATTGTTGATATGTTTTTGATCCTTTGCTTTCCAGGTATATTTCTAAAATTCTAGCTGTTTGATTTTGTGGGAGTATTACAATTGGTTGTTCATGGATTAGAATCTGGTTATATGGATTATATGCAAAGTTGAGGACTAGAAGATTTGATTTGGATGTATAATATGAATGTCATTTATTGTAAAAAAATTTGAGCAGATGTCACTTATTTTTTGTAATCTTTTTTGACTGCTTGTTATTAGGGTAGTGTCATTCATAAATGCTAGGCATGAGATGTTTTGGGTTGATATAATTGGTGGTACTGTGGATTCCTTCTATTTTTTTGTCATAAGGATATATCTCTTTTATGTTTTTGAGATCAGGAATAGAAGTGGATTGTAGAAGATTCTCCAGAGTAGGGGTGATATAGTGTCTCCTTGGTCGATTCTATCTTCTACTGTATATTGTAGTGATAGTCCAAATGGTGTAATAACATGGTTTTGTCTATTGTCACAGATATTCATGATGATTTGAATGATGGTGTCTGGGCATTTGATTCATTGGAATACTAGTTTGAGTCTTTAAATATTTACTGAGTCAAAGGCTTTTGCTATGTCTAGGCTCAAGATCCATGCTTTGCTACCATGCTGTTTTGCATCATCCTGGATTGCTCTAATTATATAAATAGGTTCTTGTGTGCTGCAACCTGGGAGAGCTGCCCAGTTGTATTCAGATAAGATTTGGTGAGTGATGAAAATTTTAGCTAGTCTGTTGTTGATGATTTTTGTAAATATTTTTCATGTTGTTTCAAGTAGAATAATCGGTTGTATTATGTTATATTATTTTTTCATAGTTTTGATTTGGGGATGAGATATATACTACCTTGACTCCACTCATTTGATACTTTGCCTATTTGTAGTATATTATTGAAGAGATCTGTGATATAGTTAATTGTTTCTTTGGTAAGTTTTTTCAGTGTAATATAAGAGATTTCTAGTGGTCCTGATGTGATTTGTTGAAGCATTTCTTGAGTACCTCTTGGATCTCTTCTACTGTGATAGTATTGATTATATCAATGTACCATTCCTTATTTACCTATTGTATTGGTTTGTATTCTTCCTCCCATATTGTGAAGTGGATTATCTTGATGTTGCATTTACTAGTCCAGTTCTGGTAATGTGTTCTAATTGCTTCTTTGATTTTTTCCAGATTTGTGATGATTGTTTCACCTAGTTTATATATGATTAGCTTGTCTAATATAATGTATCTTTTTGGGTTATCTAGTAGATTTCTGATCATCAGTTTTTTGTTGGTGTTGAAGTTTAATTGTTTTCTTAGTAATTATTCAGATATGGCTTCTGATTTTTTGTTTCTGCACAATTTGTTGAAGATTGCTTTATATAAGTCTTTTGTGTTTTTGATAGATTTAATTCATTCTGCAATGTTTACTGGGCAAGAAGGCTCCTTTGGAATGTTTATGATGATAGAGTGTTTGTTGACTAGTTTGTTCGATATAGACTTGATTTTCTTGAGGATGTGGTCTGATGGTGGGTTGATATTGAGAAGTTGTTTACCCAATGTGTAGATTTTTGAGAGATTGCATAGAGCATCAGTGGAGGGGCTAGGTAGTTTTGGTAATCTCTTTTTTTCCTTATATTTTTTAATGTGAAGGGTTGCGCTTTATAGGATAGTTTCTCTTAAAAGGTTCCATTTTTTATTCATTTTATCTGAAGAGGTGTTAAGTTCATCCTATGATTGTTCAAGTTTGGATTGTATATGCTTTCTGAAATCTTTCCATTTCTCTTGGGGTGTGTCCTATCACTTATATCTGATATTGAGTTGTAATCTATATCTATTTGATTCTAAGAGATCAGTATTTCAATGTTATATAATACAGTATGTTGCATTGTGATCAGTTTCTATTACTTCTTTGTCGATTTCTTGTATTTGTGCTTCTATGAGAAGCCATAGTAATAATAGAAAGATTTATATTTGGTCGATTCTACTGATTGTATCTTCTGTATTGCTCCATGTGTGTTGGATGCTATATGGGTTGATTTCTCAGAAGATATTTATGAATTGGTTGTTTGATAATTGTTGTATGAGCTTTTCCATTGGAAGGTATTACTTTGCCTTTGGAAACTTTGAGTTGAACATGTCTATGCTGGGGTTGGGAACTGAGTTGAAGTTTCCTAGTATTGTTATTTGACTGTTTGAGGCTTTTGCTTTGTTAATGAGTTTAAGGATTTTCTTGATGCACTCTTGGTTTGACTGGTATACTTGGGTGGAGAGATAAATAGCGATTATTTTGAGTTTATGTTTGAATTTGAATAGTAAGTCTATTGTGATAATTCTGTTCTTCCATGTTTGCTTTTTGTATATATGTTTGGCTAAGTTTTTTTTGATTAACAGTACTACTCCAAACCCCTTTATTTGATTACTTGTGTTGCTACATGTGGTTTGATAGTTGTGAAATTGAATGAATTTTCTTTTCGTATTGCTGAGATTTGTTTTTGTGAGTGCGAAAATATATGGTTTATGTTTATTGATCTATTCTGTCCAGAGGAGTAGTTTTTCTTGGTTCCATTTGAGATCTCTGACATTTGTTATAAAAATATTCCAGGTTTGTTCTGTGATTTTGTAGTTTGAGTTGTGTTCGGGTTATTGTTTATATGGTGTGATACATCAGTAAATTTAATTAGGTGGAGTACTCCAGAGATCTCCATCTGGAGTCCTTCAAAAACATTATGTTTTCGTTAGAGATCTCCGGAGTGGAAATTACATATATATTTTTCATAATACTCCATTTACTTGAAGTCCTTCAAAGTGTATTTAAAATAATATTCATTGTTTAATTTAATTTAAAATTATCATGTATTTATTAAAACTTATTTATTAACACATTAATTTTTAACTTTTATTTATTATTTGTAGGTTTTTTATTACATAATTTTATTTTTCAAAAATTATTGATTCACTTCACTTTCTTCTATTTCAATGTCTTCGCCTTCTTCAATCTAAATAAAAAATTTAAAAATTATTATTGTTTTTAAAATTAATTGTAAATATAATAAATACCGGTTTATCAATACTCATATTCGAAGTATTGCATTCGAATACAAGTTCCTTCGTTTGACTTTTTTTGCTAACTGTTGCTACGTATTGCAAATCATTATCTGACTCTTTGGTGTAAAACAATATTTTATTCTTCAATTTTTCCTAAAAAAATGTTAAAAAATGTTTAAAATATTTTTACAATACTTCGCAAGTCTCTTTATATTTACTTTATTTTTTACAATTTCCTGTTTGATCAGTCATTCATTAATTTGAATTATATCATTATTGGGATTAAGAATTGTTTCGCAAACTAATATGGCAAAGGTGATTAATTCTTCGGAGGCTTCCACTTTGAACCAAACTTTATCGAGAATGCGTGCCATATTAGTCATCGAGTCGTCACCAATTTCATAAAGACTTTTGTAACATCACGAAGTCTTTCGTGACTTTTTCCAAGTCATTATTTCTGCAGAACCCGCATTAGTATTTACTGGTTCTAAGTATGCTTTGCCAAAAACCGAAAACATCATATCACGAATTCTAAAAACCAAAGTTCCCCGATTCGATCGATGCTGTCATACAAGCTTTTGATAAAAATAAGATTGTAAATTAATTTTCTTAAAATATTGTACAAATATTATATTCTTATCGCTTAATGGATATATTTTTTATAATACGTTTTCTATCGTTTTCGTGATAGACTTTCAAAAAATCCAAATGTTCGTGACTGAAGAAATCTTCCGCCTTTTCGCGATACTTTGCAGTTTCTGGATATATTTTTTCTTGAAAAAGTTCTTTTGTGATCCTCTTAATAGCGCTCTAAAATAATATTAAAAAATAATAATATAATAATTTCAAAAATCTTCGCAATCTTATATACCTCAATAAAATCCTTTTCAATTACAACGTTTTGGTATGAATGCAACTTATTTTCTAGATAATTTTATCTTCCAGTGATTTTTGGCACTCAATCATTGAATCCACTTTTTTGAGAAACAAAGAATTTTGCTTCACAATCTTTTCGAAGATCTTTATTGATACTATAATTCTAATTAGTATTAATAAAAAAGTATATATTAAAGCAATTTTACAATATCTGAAGCTCTTTCGGGTTCTTCTCAAGCTAACGGCTGGTGAACAAGAACAGAGATATCTGAAGCTCTCGGCGAAGTATTATGGACTTCCTTGATCTATCAAAGAATGTTTCAAAATTTTTAGAATTGACAGGCGATGTAATCATATATCTTTTTTTCTTTTCGGGACCCTCCAAAGCTTCCTCATTTTCTCTCCTACTCTTCTCCTTTCTTTTAACACCTATGATTAAGGAATTAAACATGTTACATCTTGCTTGTTTTTGATCAAACATTTTAAAGAAAAAGTTTAAAACATTTAGAAGCCTTTTATAATAAAGATTTTCAAAAAAAATATATCATAATTATATCTTTGTATTCTTCCATTATATCATTAATTATTACAAGTTCAACGTGTTATAAATAAGCTCATAAGCCTTCAGAATTAAATAAAATCGTGTCATAATTTATGTGTTAGATTAAATTTCTATTGCTAAAAAAAAAAATTTTTTTATTGACTAAAAATATTTGGCTAAAAATATTTTTATTTTATTGACTAAAAAACTTTAGTTACAATGAACCTCCAAAGTATTTTATAGCATCACAAAATGGCCTTCAAATGTGCATTCTGTCAACGTACTTTCTCTAGATGTTCAAATTATTCTAACCATGTTAACAAATATATATTGACAGTCGAATCTAGTGATGAATTTAATAAAAGCTCAAATGAGTCACACCAATTAACTCGCAGAATTTCTTTAAATACTTCAGAGGTCTTCAAAGATAATGGAAAGGTTTATAATTTTTATTGATATTTATTTTTGAATATATTTTAATTTTTCAATTTTATTAGATTACTTTAG